TTTTTTTTTTTCAATTAAATGAAAAATGGAAACAAAGAATTCCTTTGGATGTGAGTGTTTCTTTCACACAGTGAATCCCAAGGAAGATATTTTGAACTCTATAAGGAAATATTTTAAGCATGCTTGCAAGGAGGAAGAGGAGCATCACACAAACCAGAATTATTCTTGAATGCAGATGCGGGGATATTGGCTGTGTGTGGAGGAATTGGACCCGAAAGCTGATTTTCTGATAAATCCAGGTTCTCCAGGTTTTTTAAATTCCCAAAACTTGGAGGGATCCTGCCTGTGAGACTGTTTTTAGAAAGCAACAAATCAGTAACATTAACAAGATTGCCAATTGTTGCAGGCAGTTGTCCGGTAAGCCTGTTGTTTTGAAGATATAGCCGTTTTATATTTGAGAGCATTCCGATCGACAGTGGCAAACTACCCGTTAGCCTGTTCTCCCTTAAAAAGCAGTCCTCCAGAGAGCTAAGCCCCGAAAAGGAAGACGGAATGCTGCCTGTGATTTGATTTTCGGAGAGGTCCAGAAATGTAAGGTGCTTAAGCTTGCCTATGCTTGAAGGTAAAGGACCAGAAAGATTATTTCCATAAAGAAAAATCATTGTTAGCAAGGACGAGGTACCAATTGACTCTGGAATTGGCCCAGACAATCTGTTTCCTGAAAGACCAAGTTCAGTAAGTGAACGTAAGGATTCAAAAACAGAGGAAGGAATGCTACCCGAAATCTGATTGTCGCTGAGATAAAGTTGCTTGAGGTCAGAAAGGTTTCGGAATGTGGTCGGTATTGATCCTGTGAGCATGTTTGATTCAAGAGAGAGGTTGTTAAGCCTGGTCAACTTGCCAAACTCCGGTGGAATAGGACCTTCGAGTTCCATGAGAAATTCCAGGTTCAGATTCTGAAGGAAGGTCAGATTCCCAAGTGAAAGGGATAAAGTTCCTTTCATGATCGCCTCAACAGGGAAGGGGTTGGAGAAATGGCCTGGACGGTTGAGACTGATGACTCTGCCAAAAGAATCACATCCGATGCCATCCCAGCTGCAGCAATCAGTGGAAGGATTCCAGGAATCCAGCAGTCCTGAATCGTAGGTGATCTTGGCCTTGAATTCAAGCAATGCTTGTTTGTCTCCGGCGTGGCAAGCCAGGCCGGAGGCCGACGGTGGAAAGGACAACGACAACAAGAGCAGCATTAGGTGAAGCAAGGCTTTGTTGTCAACGGAAATCTCCATTGATGATTCTGAGTTGAGGGAACTGTATACAGTAATTCTGTATATGAAAATCAAAGAAGAAGAAGAATTATATATATATATATATATATTTGTATTAATTTGAGTTATGTGAATTTAAATTTAAATCTCTAAATAAAGAAAGAAATAAAAAGCAATCATCTTCTAACCAGTGAAAAATAAATTAAACATATTACTTTCCTTAACTAACCATTGCAACTCTATTTTAGGAAGGAAAATCATCCATAATAACTCTTAACTCCCCGAAGTTTGCTGTACAGAAACCCTAGGCACTGAAATCTATTAAAGCAGCCAATCCCGCGGCCACCATGCACCACAACCATAAGGCCCTATGATATGGAAAAGGAAAATCAATTTGGTATAATTTATGTGTATAACTTTTTGTATTACCTTTGCTCTAACTTAGTTGTTACCCATAAGTAGTTTTTAAAGTGATGCTGTTTATAATAATAACTTTAATTTTTTTAATAAAATTAAATTACTTAATACAATAAAATTTACATATTAATAAATTGAAAATAAATTTTAAATTATCATTTATATATTATAAAAAAAGCATTACTTAGACATACTTTTTTAATTTTATAAGGATTTATAATATTATATGTATCAATTTATTTAATTATATATAAAAATTATATTAAGGGTATCTTTTTACCATAAATTTGTATAAAAAATGTAAAAACAACATTAATTTTACAATTATTATTATGTGAATAAATTTAATTAAAGCAATAATAAATTAAATACCAATATTTATTTTTTCAATAAAAATTTTACAAATAAATTGTTACCACAGCATATCATTACCCATTACAGAAATGGCAATGTGCTCCATATAATCAAATAGTATAATCAATAAATTGATTGCTACTAAATAATAAATATATGTTTTTTTTATGGTCTTTCCTAAAGAATATATTCAATGCCACTAAATCATAATACGATCCTCATGCAAATTGAGAGAATCAGCACATATCAATCTATGAAAAAGTATATATCAATCCTGATTTATGAAATAAATTAGAATCTCAATATTAAATTATGTCGCTTTATTTAATTTAAACTTAATTCAAAATTTAAAATTTATCTTATTAAATATTAATATTTATATTCAAAAATTGATTATGTTATAACATATAATAAATTTAGTGTGTATCAATTTTACTTCTAAAAAACAATTAGAATCTCAATTTACATTTAAAAACTAAAATATTATCCTATTAAATATTAATATATATATTTGGAAATCCATTATATATTCTAATATAATTAGAATTTAAATTTAAATATCAACATTTAATAAGATAAATTTTTAAAATTTAAATTAAGTTTTAATTAAAAAAAAAGATGTAATTTAAGATTTTGACTCTAATTATTTTTTGGAGTCAAGATTGATATATTATTTTTTCATATATAATTAGTTTCTAAATTTAAATATAAATATTTAATATGATAAAATTTTAAATTTTTATCATTTAATAAATTAACACTCTAATTTTTTATAATAATTGAAATTGATACATACTTTTTTATATATATAACATAGTAGTTCACACACAACTTTATCTCCCTTTAAAATCCCCCAATCAGGAAAGTTGTCATTAGTAACACTCTTTTTTTTTGTTTTTTTGTTTTTATCTACAAACAGATGGATGAATGGGTAAGGAAATTCTTCCAGTTTAATCAAAAGTTTTGATTTCAAGTTTTGGGAATATAATTTCATTAAAACTTATGAGTGAGAGTTTTGTCATTCGCTAGGTCTTGCCCGACTTGAATCCGAATTACTCAATGCCTTAGTAGGCTTTCAGATATTGGGTGATTCATACAAAAAAAAGTAACACTTTTTTTTTTCTTCCTTTCTTTTCCATTACTACATACTTTAGTTGATCCTTGTGAGATTTGATTTTTTATTTAATGAAAGATTAATTTATGATGGATTTTGGACCATGATAGACGGGGCCTGATTGCTTTAAAACGGGGCCTCAGGGACCCTCCAATGGCCCAATGATTGGAAG